CCTAGCAGTAAGGCCAGGAGCCCCTAGTAGCGTCCTTGCTCCTAGTAGTGAGGCCAGGAGCCCCTAGTAGCGTCCTTGCTCCTAGTAGTAAGGCCAGGAGGGTGGAAATTGTCGTGCGCGAACATGATGTGACAGGTAACAGAACATCATCAAACACAAAGCAAATCAAACAAATTCTCTTGGTAGCTTTCGTTCTTTCATTGATTCTTCTCAGCATCTCTAAAGTTTTCTTAAGTCTCGCGGACAGAATTGAAACTCAGTCAACCCCCGCAGTGCTAGCGCGATTGTGCAGGTGCCTCGTTCTCCTCAGTGATGCTCCCAAGGCCTCCTTTCCGCATGGCCAAGCCCTGGGAAGTGCCAAGACCGAGCTGCCTTCGAGAATGGCTCCCCCTCAAACTTTAGGCTCCTCCCAAAAATCTCCCAAAAACCATCCAGGGCACTCCGACTAATCAGCATGGCCTCTCCATTGCATTTCTCAAAAACAGGTGTTATCTGGTTCTTGGATTTGAGACCGCCCAGGTTGAGGACTACAAAGATCCCTCAGAACCGACCAGCCTTGAGGGGGACCGGATTTGAGACGCGGCCGCCAGCACTCAATCAACCATACGAATCCATTGTATCTATCCTAAGTAAAAGTGGATGATGATGGTTATATAGTAAGGGCCCTTCTCTAAATAGTGATTTACCAACTGTTACTGGTAATAGGACAAACACCACTTGCTGAATCTGCTCAGGGAAGACTTTTGTAATGTCCATGTATGTAATGCAGACTCTTGATGAATAAAACTCCCGAATCAATCCACCTGGCTCTCAGCTGGAGCAAAGTGGAAGAACAGCACAGCTTGGCATAAAGCCCATCGCCATCGTTCGCTCCCCACAGTCGCTTGCAACTGGAACAACAGGCCCCGCACTCTCTCCACCAGCTTGTGTGCCTGGAGGCCGTGGAACCATGACTGGGCCACGGAGCAAAACACCATTTCAACACTCATGGGATCCAAAAGAAGTCAGCAGGAGCTTTGCTACGGAACAAAGAGGTCTCCTGAACACCTCCGTTCCAACCACTGCAGGTCACGGATGGCTTCTGTTTATCACCGGGCTTTTGGCCTGAAAACGATCAGGCAAGACTTGCAGAACTCCCTCGCAGCCCGCAGCTATTCAAACCTTTTCCGAAAGCCCCACAAGTTGTCAAATTCTACTCCCACCTCATTCCCCCAGCTACAGTAATTCTCCAGCTTAGCCAAAACAGTACCTCATCCCAGTATCCAAGGAAACATCATGAACTCCAGCCTCTTCCTTCCCGCCTTCATTTGCCATCCCTCCACCACCCAGAGCTCCCCAGCTGTGATGTGCTGACTCGCGCGGAAGGAGCTCGGGCCACCGAAGCCGATGAACCTGGCACGGCGGTTAAGGCGCAACTGCTCCATTGGTGTGGGGAGGGGTTCATCTCTGGCGCAAGTGACAGGGTGAAACAGAGTGAAACAGCTTCAAAACTCCCCAAACAGCCTGAGAAATTGAGCACTTTGGGATGGTTCATGGTGGTTGATGGGGAGATGAGCCAAGTATTCTAGGTCCTTTTCAGCTTAGACCATTGCTTTTTGCAACCATTGCTTTTTGTGGACTCACGGTCTACAAGCACCAATGACCCTAGATCGATCGGCCAAAGCTGACCAATCGCAGCACCAACCAATCGCAGCTGATGATCAAACCATGTCAAACCCTAACCCAACCAGCCAACGGTATTTGTGATAACTCATGTTGATCCAAAGGCACATGTTGGTCCAGGAATGCTTGATTGCTGTGTGCCAAACATGGCAAATCATTTAAGGCAAACGCGGTAGACAAAAGCTCGGTATATAATGCATGGATCGCACGCATTTGGCCTATTGAACTATTTCCAACAGCAGCCAATTGAACGACGCAGGCTCCATCCACACAGTATGTAGCAAGTGGTTGCACTATATAAATAAACGAAAGCGGATAATTATATAACTCATCCGCGCCCAATGTCATCACTTAAACCAGCTCTGCCCCCTCAGCCAAACAGCCAAACTCACACGTCAGGTTCCCAACAACCACCTGCCAGCTCCAGGCACCCGGCGTTCAAACGTGTGAAACACCAGGCGCGGACTCCGCGCGAAAAAAGCGCCGTACGTCGCCCGGCGCACTGGTACAAGGAATCAAAGACCAAGACCGAGTCGACCAGGCGGTAGTTGTAAAGCTCCCCCACCAACTTCACCTGCCGGACCTAAGCTTGTGCCGCAACAACTGGAAGGCGCACTGGTGTTCAAGCTGACCGGAGGCGTCGAAAGCCAATGGAGGGTGTCCGAAGACTCACCCACTGTGGGGTTGGATGGGTGAAGCAAAACAACTGACATCAATGAAGGTCATCTTGCTCAACCTTGGGAGCACAATCCCTCTTCAAAACGGTGTTTTGTAATGTGTTCTTACTTATGTGATTCTGTGATCTTATGTTTTGGCTATATCAACCTTACAAAACCGTCTGCCTATATACCGCAGTGGCAATACCGTGCATTCCTCCACGTACCCCTACCCCTCGCGGGTCCATCAACCCCCGGGGTTCCCAGGCCCTCAATGGCATCTCCCGGAAGTCGTTCCGCTCGAGGGTCACCTCGGGGGGAACTGACTCCACTTGGCCCGGCATGCCCGGCATGAACAGAAAGGGCCAATGCCAAAACAAAATCTGGACATCTGGGGTGGGATCTGGAGATCCAGATTGGCTAGGTAGTTGGCTAGAGGTCTTGACATTAAGGCCATGAATTCTGGACATCTGTGGAGGGGGTAGGAAGTTGGGTGAGCTTGGATGCTGAACATCGAGTTCATCCGATCGATCGGAAGCGTTCGATTCTCGGTCCGTCTTGCCGTGTCCTGCCTGGATGTTCTCCAGCAACGAGTCGATGACATCGATCACAAAGGCCTTCACATCAAATCACACCCTGTTGGGCCACCACACCGTCGCCATACAGGAAAAAAACATCCAAACCGATGAAACACGACAGTGTCGATCCACCGATCCACTCAAAAAAAGAGTTCTGAGATGATGAGCCTGTGCTGAAACTCTTGTTATCTCTTGTTTGCTGGCTTTTGGGATCCCCTAGCTTCCCAGTTGCTCCGCAGCCACACGTATTTCTACAACCACTCCATCGTCTTCCACGAAACGCCGCTTGATGTCAGACTCCCTTTGGAGTGGTGGTGCTGCAGTTCCACCGTTCAGGCATGACCCTACTTTTGGGATCCCCAGGTTATCCTGGTTGCAAACTGCAAACAGAATTGACCCACATCCCAAAGGTCGGGTGCCCCGCGCCCCTGTGCGCAACAAAAACCGAAAGACCGCCATCGGCATCGGCGGTGTCTGTGCTCAGTCCGCTGGGCCCCGGGCATCGCGGTACTTGGCCAGGCCACTTAGCAAGGAGGCCACGCAGGAGAGGTGCTCGTAGTTCGCATGGTGGTTCAAGTCCTGGACGGAAAGAATGGGTGGGAGTGAGTTCGTAGTGAGTCGCAGCATCCGGCGGCGAGTTCGTTTCAAGAATCTTGCCACCAAAAACGACACCAGTGAACATGCTAGTTGCTGCTAGTTTAATGTTCCATGGCGTTTTGACGGGTGCTCAAACGGGCATCTCTCACTGCTCAGACTAGATCAGACTAATTTACTATATAATGGATGATCATTGTTAATTAGTCGGGACTAGTAGATTCCCAACAAAGACACTGGTAGAGTTTCAAGATTCAATTGCTGACTCGGCCCATTCCGGCTTGACTCGCCTTGACCCCAGGGTTCTTCCGATCTTCCGCTTGACCCTGTTTCCAAAAAAATGACTCCCCACGGGTGTGAAGTTCATCCACACCGAAACACATGAACGGACGAAGCAAACCAAACCCTGCTATGGAGGTGACGAGGTGTGATGGTTTTCGCGGTGTTTTCGGGTTGATGCGTGAACACCATGTCTCGCTGCTCCAGCAAGCATTTCTTCAGCCATCCCACTGCGGGGCCTGGCAAGGGGAGTCATGAAGACTCTGGCATATGTCATGCAAAGAAGCGATCTGGGAGGATGGATCTGAGATGATTTCGGGTATATACTCTGTTAACTCCTGATGATAGCGGCTGAGAGACATGAAACCAACCTTCTTGAAAAAGAACATCAGTTTATCAAGCTCTACTATGCTGTACTGGACAAAGGCCGTAAGTTACGTACAAAAACCTGAAGAGTTTCTTCACTCGACTGGCCCTCACCAGCAGTCCAGAAACATGCCAAAGGCTCCGTCCCAGGGCAATCTCCGCACTAGCCTCAAGAATTGGTCCTGTCCAGACCGCATGCCGAATATGGATTCAACAACATATGTACTACCATTGCGCATGCATAAAGTACGCAAACAAATTCATCGCGCATGCATAAACGTGTTCACTATATATTCACCAAATGCCACATACCTTTCTGCCCTCAGCACTTCCCAAAGGAACACTAAAGTCTTTGCAGGATCTTGCCACCGCTTTGTGTCCTCATACTCTAGCAGCTAGTCTGGCTAGCTACTTTTGAGTGGGCTGCTGCAATGACACTTTCCACCACCAACCTGCGGTAGAACATTGTGGGTAGCGTGTTCGCTTTTTTTCCTCTAGCTTCCGACACCATTCTCAGCTCCGTGACTCTATTCGTAGGGCTCTTGGCAGCCCAAACCCTTTCAATAATTACATTTCACCAAAGGATGCAGAATTCAGTCCAAGTTTGGGTCACAATGGAAACACAACCAATGACAGGACATCTTGAAACGTGGTCCTCATCATCGTCCTTGTACAAACCTCAGTGGGGGCTGGCATGAGGCCGGTGCAAGTGCTGCGGTGCGGTAAATGAACGCTGCAAGCTATACATCCCCTTCCCTCTTTCTACAACTGCCTACTGTAATTATATGAGTTGTAATATTCTGAGTCCTGTGCAAGGCACTTCCACCCAACAAACTAGTTTGTGAATTCCAAATTGGTCCACAATAGCATACGATAGCATACAATATTTACTCCAGCACAAAAAGGCCAAGCCAGTGTGGCTCGGATTTTGCCCTTGCCTTTGCTTGGAAACTGCCAAGTGATAGGTCCTCTACCAACTGATAAGCCTCCAGATAGCTAAGATCCCCCAGCGTTCAAAGACCAAATGCTCCACAAAGAGTTCCAGCGGATCCTCACGAACGAAATGTTGTTTTGCAAATTGGCACTGTCACTGCTGGTTGTTGGGATGGCTCCTGCATAAGCCCACCAGGAGAAAAATTTCACACCTAGTGTTGTTTCTTGTGGGCTCGTGTTTTGGCCCCAGGCCAAAATGCTGTTAGGAGATTGGTTCCTCTGGGAATGTAGAAGGAAGGCAGCAAACGTCGCCTTCCTTCCAGGAGGAATTCAGGAGTCTGCAGACCTCCGCCTGCAATCGAATGCCTGTGAACATTTCAGCTATCAGCTATCCGCAGACCAATTCCAAGGAAACATGCCAAATCCATGGACAAAATCGTCTCTAGTGCTTCCCAATACAGAGCAAACACGATGCCTTGGTCACCGCTGGTCACCGCATGCTGCTAGCAATCGGATATATTCGTCACCACATGTCACCAACTTAAGATCCAAGAAACCTTCCGATTGTAACCTTGGGCAAGTTGGACGCCTTTAGGCCTTTAGGCTCGAGCTAGGCGTGCATTGAAATGGGAAGAAGCCCTTGCAACCAGTGGATATTCTCCCGCGGTGTGCCTCTCTGGTGTTCAGTAACAAGCACATCTATATCAACAACAAGCACATCTATACTGCGATGAACTAGAGGTTCAACGGAATAGATAAATACCAAGAATGTCTGATAAAACAACTCCTGTGAGTACCGTACCTGACGCGTGCTCTCGGCCCTAGGCTTGGCCCTTGGCCCAGCCCCGTCCTTGCTCTTCTTCTGCTTCCGCTTGCCTTCAGGCCTAAGGCAGGCCGCTCCTTCCGAGAACCAAACTCTCCGTGCCGGAAGGAGCACTGGAAAACAGGTCACTGAAGTGACAACTATCGTGTTTCACCCAGTCCTTTCCACCCATCTACAAATGCCAATCAAATCAACATGCGTAGCAGCCTGTGTAGCAGCCTGTGCGGACACTGGGCGCCACTGCGGCTTGACCTGATAGAAGGCATCCTCCAGCATAATCTCAAGCCTGGATCTTGGCTCACCGGCAGCCCGGATCTTGGCTCACCAAAAACCATCCTAAAATTAAAACAACCAACAGAGGTTGAAGAACCCTAGTTCGACTATCCCAGTTGGGTACCACGGGGGACGGGTCCTACAGCATAGAATCACTTATATAACCTCCGTTGGAAAGTGCCAGTTAAGAATTGTTTTACTTCTCCGGTGACTCATTGTGGGAGACCTTGGTGGTTGCTGATGCAAAACAATTATCAAATCCGAAAAGAGATCTCGCCCACCAAGCCGCTAGAAACAGTAGCTTACTTATAAATTGAAAGCTCTGTGGCACCCAGACCCACTCACCCTCCAAAAAAGTAACACACAAATCACAAAAAGGAATGCTCAGCCTCAGGGGCAAAGACTTTGCTTTGGTGAGGCGGAGCCTTACAATTTCGGGGCCGCTCGAGTGTCCTTCGTTCGGCGCGAAAAAACACGGGCCACGGTGTTTTTCGGCGGTGGAAAGTCAATGTTCGGGAAAATCTGAGGAGCTTTTCTCTCATGGATCCGGCCATGGGCGGTCTTCTAATATCTACCAGCCAAATTTACACATAGCAAGGACGTACACATAGCAAGGACACTACGAACGGGGCGCTCCTGGCCGCACAACTAGGAGAAAGAAGCTACTAGTAACAAAGGGCATCGCTACTAGTTACTAGTGCCTTACTAGTAGTAACAAGAAGCTATTAGAAACAAGTGCATCGCTTCTAGTAACAAGTGCCTTGCTAGTAGTAACAAGAAGCTACTAGTAACAAAGGGCATCGCTACTAGTTACTAGTAGCAAGGACGCTACTAGATTCAGCTCCTATGACACATCATCCGAGCAGACGCACAAGATGGCAAACATCCTTCTGTATGTCTCGGAAGGGGACTTAACTTTGGAATGGCTCGTCTGCTGGCACAAAAGCAGCTAGGTAGGGACCGAATGAAACAATATCTAAGGCATCAAGAAAGACCATGGACAACAAGGCAGACAATCGTTTGCAGCAGAGAGCTGTAGCTAGCAACGAGGAACTACGAGGAGCTTTAACCAAAACATACTTACCGGTTTGCCAAACCTCGACACACTGATCCGCATTTCCGGAACCTGCGGGAAATGACACTTTTAAAGCAGGTTATGTTGATGATCTGATGTCCTAAACATACTGTTCATCAGGCCGGGAATGTACTGTATTACACCGTATCAAGATGTTGTAGATGCACGGAAAACTTTAGCGCAACTAGATTAGATTGATCAATTAGGATTTGGTCAAACGCTCTTGCTGGCAAAGTTGGTGCTGTCCTGGCACATGAAAATGTTGAGCACATCGGCTTCGTATTCGTCAAAGACTAATGCGTGTCGTTCTAAACTCAACACAGGCCCCATCAACAAGGTGTCAGTTGCGACAAACCCGCTGCGAGACTTCAGTGGCAAAACCGAAATAAATAAGGGAACATAGACCATGCACCATTCATCTAGCAAGGGGTTCAGGAACTTTGTGCAGATCCGAACGGCTCCGTGTTTGATCAGGAATATGGACAAATGCCCGGAAGCTAGTCACAGAAATCCAACGCAAAAACGCTAGTCAGGTCGCTTCCTGGCAACGCCTAAGGATGAGGTTGTCCTTTGCTGGATCCCGAAGGGGTCCAGCAACCCCTCAGCCACCCACATGCGCTCCATGAGGTTGTCTGTGCGCGTCGCCTGGTTGGGATGAGGTTGTCCCGCGTGGCATGAACGCATCCAGCTGATATGCTTATACCAGTCTTTTTCTTCATTGTTTGTTTTTCTTTTTTTGGGGGGGCCAAAGTAATCCCTCACCAACTTGAGGTTGGGAGCAGGGACAGTCTCTCAAATCTTCCTGATGATCAAATAGCCCGCAATCCTTGCGCAAATGAACCATACTAATACTAGTCGGCCGTTTGCTGCAAACAGATTCCTTCACCCGAAAAAGGCTCTTTCTAGATCACTGCTTGTCTCTGGACCTCTGGAAGGGCCTCTGGTCTCTCAGGAGCTGCTCCGGTCCCTGGGGCGTCCCGCCGTTTCTGGCTTGTACATCAAATAGCGACCGCAAGTCCTTAGACCGGTGTGGGGGCCTGTGTGTTGGGGGGGTTGTGGTAGGTTCCGCGCGCATTCTGCCGTAGCATGTGCCAAAAACGCTGGCGCTTTTTCCCGCAGAAATGATGGGTGCGGGTTGGTGGACCTGAAAATGCACAAACCCTCGTTGGTTGATGTTGGTTGACCTGCCTGGTAGTCCATTCTGTTCATGTTGATGAGGTCAGCTAAGATCACATGTTGACCCATAGCCAGATCATGTTATCGTTGGAATGTATTGGATAAAAGAACATCAACCAAAAGAAAGAGGCGGACTTTCCCCTCCAGGTCATGCTGTGGAGCCACCCCCGCTTCAATAACTGAACACTTAACAATGGACAGCTGAAATGGACATGACTCTCCAGCGTCCATTGTTAAGTGACGTTGGAGGTCGCTCTCGCTCTGTTTGCTCGGGAGTGGTGGCTCGAAATCTGGGCTGCAGCGCTGCAACAAGTTTGCGCAAAGCTCAGCGTTTTGCTGGTTGAAGTCGTCGCAAAGCGTCTGTCCGCCGGCCGAAACTCGGCAACCAATCATCGCGCTTCGCAAAGTTGTCATCTTCGCATGGAACATATATAATACGTACTTTGTTGGAGGCCATCGCTAATTAATAATTAGTAGGTTGGAGGCCATCACTACTAGGGTGGAGGCCATCGCTAGTAGCGTGGGGTGTCGCAGGCTCCTCTGGGTGTCGCATGTCTTGTCGTTCCAAAAGTCCTCCGAACCGAGGAACTCGGTCTAGTCTTGTGTTCCCACCCCGGTCTGGGACCGTTTCGCGCGTTTGGACCCCCCACCAGGCATATACCCCAATGCAAATAGTGGATCACCGAAAAGGGGATAAAAAGGGCACGTCCTTCCAAGCTTGAAAAGATCTTAAAGCTCAACAAGCGCTCCCGAACAGTCTTCCAACAAGTTTTTCTGGGGAGTGTGAAGTGCTGGACCATCCCTCTCGCTCTGAACAGTGGAGGATGCTCAATAAGCCTATCAGGCCCCCTATGGCCCCCTTCTCTTGAGTGGGTATAGCCTTAACTTGTCTGAGTCTCACGGGCATTCAGAACCCTTTTGGACTTCCAGGCTATGCCCGAATGGGCCTTGAAGATGTCCAAGATAACACCAGGTGGGCAAATCTTGAACCTCTGCGGCGAGCGCACGTAGTGGGAACCCTCCAGATGGACAAGCCATGATAAGCCTAAGCCTATGAGCAGCATGAAACAGCATGCGGGAACATGCAAGTACCTGATGATGAGAAGTTTTGTCTGCAAGTCCCTGATGTTTGGATGTTTGTGAGCTGCCTATAGGTCTTGCCCCATTCACCCCCAAAATGGTGGATGAAAACAGCTTCATGCATGTTCACTGACTCCAATCGTCCAGTCTGAGACTCTGATTGGCTTCATGAATGTCTCTGAAGGATCCTTTCAAAAATGCCCTTCACCAACACCGGGGGCATCAGGCTTGCAAAGCTCACAGAGGAACTTCACGACCTTCACCTCACAGGCCGACGCAACATGGAGAGCACATGTCAGGGCTGGATAAGATAAGGGGGACCCAAGTCCAACTGCACCAAAATGCGATTCAGGGCGATCAGGGAGTTTGTGGTTTGTTTCTTCTTGAGAGTGCATGTCAGAAATGATGCAACTTGCAGTCACCACGTGTTGTTATGATTCTGCTTTCAGTCCAAATCCGTGCCTTCTGCTCCAACAAGTTCTGGTTCGGGTCTGTGATCACCTGCCAAGATTGCCGGGCTTGTCTGCAGTCTTGATTATCTGCAGCAATAAAAATATCGATCTGACATGGAACCACATCGGAGATCCATCGCAGTGTCTCCGCGTTCTTCCTGCTACACTTGCTTGATATGATGTGTATATATATATACACCTAGCCGTTGAAAGGTACTAGTACCACACCTCTGTTGAAACATCTTGGGAAACCCTAACCGCTTGACTTCTTTGTGGTCTTACGATGCTTCTTTCAGGGTTAGGAACCCTCGAAACACCGCTACCCTCCAGCACCAGCAACCCCTCCCGCCCTACAAATCTCTCCTCTTGGTGTGTTTGGACAGTCCACACCCCAGCTCATCCCCTTAACTGCAGGGGTCCGGGTGGTGGCCTGCCTGCCCGCCGGTCCGCCTAGCACCTGCGCAGAGCCACTAGACCCCGACCACACCGGCCCTCATCACCTGATCGAGCTCCTGTTGAAGCCACGACAACAACAAGTTGGGCACATCTTTGATGTAGGGCCTCACAGAACGAGGAGAAAGCGCTCCAAACACGTGACGTATTCCCAACTCAATGGAAACTTGTGCAAACTGATGCTGGTCGTGCTGCAAGGCAAACAAGCTCTAAAGCAAACGTTTCCTGATCTGGCTTCTTTAATACTCACTGGACAAGAAAGGACATAAAGCACCCTAAGTTGATGTTCAACCATGTATGAAGATGCAGAATGATGCAGAGTGCTATATAACTATAGCCACATATCATATGCAAGCATATGCATGAGTCATAAGCTGACCAGTCACCAAACACAACATCCACCTGCAACAAATTGTCTCCATCTCAAATGGTCGCCACCCCCTAGCCCCGAGATGTCCCACCGTTTCACCGTTTCATCTGTGACGGCGAGCCCTGTGTCAAGTTCCAGGCCCGACCATTGCTGCAATGCGTGCATAAGGAGCAAGGAGATGAAGCCTGACGTGACCAAACAGTCCACATCGGGGGGACATCGACCAATGACCGGGGCTTCGATGTGCAAAGGTTCATGAGAAGATTGCATGATTTGCATGGAATATTGCAACCTGTGGATCACGACCCATCAGAAGATGATTGGCTCAACGAATGGCTGCCAAGAAGTGCTAGGCTCGCTAGGCTCCAAGCTGTTTGACCTTATGTGCCTCAGCTCAACGAGAATTGGTCTTTCCGGATCAACATTCCGCTTCGCGATCTACAAGGCCGACCATGAAAAACACATCTGAATCCTTTTGGTGCTTACCGTGAGCAAGAGGCCCCTCAAATAAACAATTTGGAAGTCGAGCCGAGTTCTTGCCATACTCCTTACTGTCTTACTAGGCGCTCTTGCCGGGCATGACCTCTCCTATAAACTGCTTGACGTCAAAAACTCTGCCATGGAAACATGCGAATCTCAGGAGCAAACGCCATAAAGATGAGCCTAAGAAACACGGGCTTTTGACGAACGCATGTCAACAAGTGGGTCGCATTTTGTAATCTAGCTCGCGGTGATTGGGAGATGCAGGCTTTTGCAATACCTAAGGAGGTATAGGGCAGGGGCAAAGGTCATAGGAGTGCGCCTGAAATGGTCCGCACCAACTTCGGTCAGAAGTTCTAAATAGTTCTGCGTTCCACATATGCGCAAGTGCAGAGAGTCTGTAGGGTTGCAGCCCGTTGTTGGACCTCCTGGCAACTCTCACAAAATGGCTTCTATAGATGATCAACTACTTTCCAGAAAGTCATGTCCCAAGGGCAGGAGGTCTTGAAATGATGCACTAATTTCGCTCAGCAGTTCTCAATAGTTCTGCGTTTTCCACCCTTGTCGTTTGTCCTTCCAACCTCCGCCTCCGCCTCCCCAAAACATTTGACCAACTTGCCCAACTGTCCCATGTTTCTGGAAGTGTCGGTAGTCATGGTACTTGTAAGAGTAGGCTTGCCGCATCACCGGCGAGGGGGGGTTCAAGTCCATTGAGATCACAGTGTCGTAGGTGAGCCTCAAGCTGGTCTGCCACAGCCCGGTGCCCAACAGGAACTCAAAGGTGACTTCCTCGTCCAGGTTCACCCCCAGGCTCTCATCAGCCTCATCCTCGTCATCCTTTTCTTCCGGTTCTTCCACGAAGAATGGCCCCCCATGATGACATCTTTTGAAGGCTTGCAGAACTTGGACACAAGCTTGCCCAAGCCATCCTTGTAGACAGCCGCCAGGCCGATGCAAGCGCAGGCCGCAGGGATCACAAGGCCTGAGCATGGCAGCACGCTGTCAAGCTCGAGCATGCTGCACCAACCACCGGCGACCCCCAGGGGCAGGAAGACCACCAAGTCTCCAGTGCTGAACCCCAGGTCACTGCAGTTCATCTCCGCCAACACCTGGAAAAAGCTGCGGCCCAGCACTACTCGCTTGTCGATTGCCTCCAAGTCCCTGGTGCTAGCTCGGTGGTCACAGGCCTCCAAAAGCTTGTCCGAGTTTTGCGTCAGCAGGGCACGCCAATCCGTCGCAGATCTCGAAATGGGTCACTCTTGTCCACTTTCACCTTGAAGAGCACCTTAATGAGTCTCTGAAAGTTGCCCATGTGCTGCGGACGGGGATCCCAACCAAAGCAAAAGAACCTCTGCAACCACTGATCTACGATCTTCAAGAGACTTTCCTCAAAGCCTCGTTGTCTCAGAGCAACGGTGACTGGGCAAAAATGTCGTTAGCTCCTCACCTGACGGGCCTGCTCTCGACTGCGTTGCTCCCCATGAGTTTCGTCGTCAATCTCGGGCTGCAGCAAGCGCTTCCAATAGAATTTCTCCAACATGCGGCAACAAATTTGAAGAGAAAAGGGTCAGATATGGTCAGACCACAGATCCTTGTCATGATCAAGGAACTTGTGCTTCTTATAGAGTGCAAGGTGTACCCGTCGAAGTTGATGGCGAGCACCGATGAAGGCGTAGTTGGGATGTTTCAGCTGAAAGTGGAGAGCTTCGCCTCCATAGACCTGGCCAATTGGGCCATATAACGCCAGGGCGCGACCGAGAGTATTTTCCACTGGCACCTCGTGAGGGCCTATCTCGTCTGTGCAGGCATCATGAAAACCGGAGACCAAATCTGCCAAGCAAAACTCATGAGCTTTGTTTTTCACCTCCCCTGAAGCAGCAGCAAAGCTCTGGGACCTTGAACTTCTGCTGCACCGCTCCGACCTGCCTCTTCTTTTGACTTACAGTGATCTCGATGGAGTCCAGTTTGCCCTTCGTTGTGCAAACCATGTTGTCCAAACACCTTCGCAGCTGGGTCTTCGGATTGTTTGTTGCCAACTTTGAATCGAGCAGAGATACAGTAGATTGAATCCCACCTTTGAATCCCAACAAAACATAAACGACGAACGTGAAAGAGCTTGAGCAGGAGATTTTGGAGCCATCACATGCCATCACCCCTCTTTGTCCCCTCAAGACGCTCCAGGACAGCTTCAGCTTGTTCCAAAGGAATCCTTCAAAACCCAAGCGGTAAGATATTTGGGCAAGCTTTGTAAACACAAATAAGGAGAATGACAACTCGAACAAACACGAGCAAACAGCAAACTCGTACCAAAAGTGATTGGGTTCAAAATTGGGTTCTTCTTCAATGCCATAATGAAACCTTGCTTCTTTGTGCTCCAACCTTTGGGGAGCTTCGTCCCTCTGAGTGACAAACATGGATACGAAAACGGTCGCTTCGGCTCTCTTCACCTCTCGTCCCCGTGATCTCAGCTCGCAGCTGCAAGTCTCTGACGGTTGCCTTTGCTGTTGAACTCGTGGAAAAACCTGACCATCGAGTTCTGTGCCATCAGAGCATGGTGCAGCTCCATAGAGAAACTTGATGCTTCCATCATCTTCTACCCAACTTGAAAACCTGCAGACCTGCCAGAAAGTGAGTGCTCCTTTCTCAACAGTTTGATGCAACCATCTTTAGCACAAAATTGTGGAAGCAAGACCTAGTGTGCGCCTGATATCGGTTGCCTATATTGTATATCAATATATCATTAATATATACATATATATATATAATATCAATATCATCCTACATGTACCTCCAACATGAGGGCCTACTGGGCTGAACATCGTTCGTGGTCGCTCTCTTCCACGCTGCTGAGGCCGCTGCTCTTTCACAATGTCATCCACCTGCCGGTCGTTCCGCTCGTCGTTCCGTCCCCGGCGCGAGCGGGCCGCCGTTGTTTCGGTTGTCGAACAGGCATGTCGCGGTTCCGCGTAAGTCGGACTCCTCAAGCATAGAGTAAGGATGTCTTTTTTGAATGGCAGGTGTGGCAGGTGTTCAGTTGATCCGTGATGCAAAATAGGAGGCTGGAGGGTGTTTTCTGGGTGGTTGGCGTCCTCTTTGGGAGGGAAACTGAACTCCTCAGCTGACCCAAAGGCACCATCCGAAAAGTATCAGAAACCATCTGACTTCATGAGCTATCAAGAAGAGTCTGCTTCCTGACACCTGTCACCAAAGCGTGGGCCATGCCCGGCCTGCTTCGCGCTTTCTGCTTTTGAGACCCGCATGAGGTACAAATCAAAATCCTCAGATCCAAGAATCCACTAGAGAACACAGGTCCTTCCCTAGGCCCTCCTCGATGATCAAATCTTGGGCTCGAGTTCGATTCGATCCCGCTATGGGAAGCCCGTGTCATAAAGAAGAGAGGTCATCACTTCATCGAATCAGCACAGCTCAGCACAACCATTCGTCAACAAGTGGCAGAAGCAGCGGCATCTTTAGGCTTCTCTTTCTCTTCAGGTGGTCTCTCAGGCTTTCCCTCCTCAATGCGATGGAGCTGACAAGTGCATACAAACACATCACCTATAAATCTAGGATTGAGGGAGTTGACGCAACAGAAGGTGTCGCCAAATGGAGGAGTTCGCGGAGAAGATCAGGCCAGGACTGTGTTTATCCAATCCTGCTGATCTCCAAAACGAGCACCAAACTCAAGCCCCCCTTCGAAGCCCAGTTCTTTCGGATCCCGCCCCGTGAACTCATCAACTCCACGTCGCTCACTGGCACAAAGCTCATGAAACACCACTCTGACACCCTCCACCGGTCCCTCCAACGCTCCCCCCAAGCGGATCGTCTCACTGGCACGCCGCTCGACGCATGGATCCGCATAACAAGTAGCGCTGTCCTTCTCTCCATCGCCGGAGCTCGGCTCTATGGAGCTCTTGCCCGAGGTCAAGAGCACTGCGGGGATAATGTCCTCGCGGGAGCTCGGCATCAGCGCCCCACCCGCGATGCGGTTTGAAGGTCTCCGAGGTTCCACGGAAGTGGTGGGGAGGTGCCAAGAACGAGACTCCCTGGAATAATCGTGGAAGTGAAAAGTGGTTGGAATCGTGTGATGGCTCGGAGTGTGCAAGCCTATTAGTTGATTTGGAGGATCTCGGAAGTGATGAAGGGAGAAAAGGAGTGGCATGTTTTTGCATGTCTTTGAGTTGCTGTGTCCAGCAAACAATCTCAAGTGCGGCGCGCAGCGTTGCATGTGAAAGGCTCACGTGAGCTTTTGGCCACAGCCAGGACCTACTGGATACATTCACAGTTTCCCTATGGTATACTAACCACCCCCACTAAGCTGAAATCAGCTCAAATGGCTCATCAGCTGTGGTAGTATAATGCCTATATCAATGTTGCCACACTGCCATAAATCGGTGGATGAAACCTGCCTTCAGGTCCACCAAGTCTTCGTAGAACTTCTGCTGTTCTGAGTCCTGGGTCCCGAGTCCGACTCAATGGGCCAAGCTCATTAGATCAAAAGACACAATGTTCCACCGTGTCTTAAATTGATTTGTCTTGGTCTGCTCTTCAAGCAAGTGATGTACAATCAGCGTGACGAAGCATCACTTGAGGACCCCAGCAATTGCAATGAATCAACCCTGCAAACTAGCATGGACCCTGAAAATGGGCTCTTGGAAGAACCACTACGTCATACGACGTCCATCTATAATTCTCTATTTTCCTTTACAACCCAGTGGTTTTCAGGGCCCAAGTTAGCCACTGTTGGTCTTCAGGGAGGTCATTCTCAGTGGGAAAAGCGCTCTGCACCAGGAAAAAACCGTGGCCCGAACCCATGAGATCCCAGCCTCGAAGATCAAGACCTCCTCTTCTTCAGGCAAATCCTCCTTCGATGGCCGCACGAACAGAACGGAAGATTCCCATAATGTGAGGTTCTAAGGTCTTCTAAGGTCCTAGATGGTCCTAGGACCCTCACGTGTTCAAGAAATGGAGCCTGCTGCTTCAACGAACCACAGGTCTCCGACAGCGGGAGGGGCCGTCGACTGCCGATCTGTCGGCGCCGCGCCTTGGGCTTCTCACCCGCTCCTATTCTCGACCTCGGCTTCAGGCGAGTGGAGGTGGCTCCAACATCATAGTCCAAAGATACCCAAGACTCAAAGCCACATTCAGTTTTGCTCCTAGTTGTTAGTTTCTTGCTCCTAGTAGTATGGCCAGGAGCCCCGTTCGTAGCGTCCGATCGCTCCGTTCGTAGCGATGCCAGGAGCCCCTAGTAGCTTCTTGTTTTTATACAGAAAGGGTAGAATATCCTACTGCAAAAACTTTGCATACCTCTTGTGACAATGTCCAGGCTTGGTTGAACATGTTAGTCACCGGCCGAGAAAGTTGCTGACAACCACAGTTGACATCTACCATTCGACCACCAGCTAAGCAGCAAGTTAGCAACAAGACTTCCTGTCACATGCGTCTGGGTCAAAACCAAAAAGACCTTGGTTGACCTACCTGTAAGGTCAAGCTACATGGACGGGGCTCCAGGTTTTGACTCTCCACAAGAAGGTCGCTGCAGGCTAGGGCGCAAACACCTCCTGCTCCTCTTCGAGCGTCGGCATGGGCCTGAGATAGGCGGATCGATGTCAGTCAGCACAGCGGTGCGTGGCGCCAGTCACAGTGCACGGAGCCCTTCGCTCGGCATGGAACAAGCATCTCAAACCGGCAACAAGTACCAGCTTATTGGACTTTCCGTGGGGGCCAAAGCTTTTTGTGGGAGAGAAGGTCAAGCCATGATTGAGCAACAATGCCCATTTGATGCATTCAGCAGTCAAAACCCTGCACCGGTATCATGCACATCCTTCAGTCACTCCTCCCCACACCCAGCTCCATCCCTGGCAAACATCTGGGATGCCAGGCTGATTGAGATACTCCGACAAGGTCGTCAGTGTGGTCTGCGGGTGGTCGCCATTTCGAGCGTGCGGTGCATGGTGCACGTGTGGTGGTTCCCGGGTTCCCCTCATGACGTGGCACACCGGACAGGTATGACCCAGAAGAGCTGGGAATCGACTGCGAATCGTCATCTTTATGGCCCAATCTATCTCAATGTCCCCCTGTCTCTCTCTCTCTCTCTCGCTCTCTCCCCTTCACAACTGGCTTCAAGAATCTTCAAGAAAAATCATCCACAAAGCGCCGACTTCAGAGCCTCACCTGAACGGTGATGAAAGCAAAAACCAAAACATTCGCACAAAGAAATCTGACGCGCCTCTATCTTTTGCAAGGATTCCTTGAACTGAGTGTGCTTCTGTTCATTCTCAGCATCAACCTGCCAAACGGATGTCCAAGTGGCTGCCATGCAGCAGGACCACACACGTCTCACCTGTTTTAAGGCCCAGCCTGACCCTTGTCTACACGCAGGGCAGCATTGGTCTTCTCCTGAAAGTGCTGAGCAGGCCAAACACGATAGCTGATTGAGGTCCTTTTGGCCCCTACTCTCGCCAAGTTGATCTGAACTCTCTGCAAATGAGACCAGCAGGTGGGGCAATTATATATTATGTATACGTACTTCCCAATCCCACAGCACTGGGGCTTAAACACTCTTCAATAGCAATCTTGGCACCTGTTCCAGGAGCCGGCCGTGAGCATTGCGCAGCAAGCCAGCAGCTGCTGACTGGTAAGCCTCAGTGAACGGAAGATCCAGACTTGATCCCCAAAACAGGCAACAGGGTTGGATGGACCTGCGACAGGGCAGCTTTGGAGATTCAAAGAGTTCCTGCCCACCAGAATTGGGAGAGCAGGGCCGGAAGTTATTATTTGGACAAAAATCACCACAACCATCAATAGACAGTTGCGTACGAACGGGAAGATCTTTCGATCCCTGCCAAGGCACATTCACTGCGAGCTGTTGAAGCTGGTTCCGCATGCCCTGGAACACCCAACAGGGCACAAGTCGGTTGGATAACTTGAATGTGAACAGTGGAAAACCGAATCAAAACCATTGACAAAAAAAGCACAACTATTGCAAAAGGAGCTGTCTAGCATCATCTACGGTGGTATAGTGTATATATACGTTCCACCGTTGGTGGCCACCCTGTCTGACCATGTGGATTGAATCTACTGTATAGGCTAGCTACTGCGCAAAAAGCGCATTGCTGAGTTTCAGGCGCTTGGATTCCTTGAGACTGATTCTTTGTGTGGCAGGGTGTTGGGTCTCACAAAAGGTTTCTACACCCGTTGTGACATGTGACAGGCCAGAACAGGCAGCTACAAGTGAGGGAGTGGAGGGCGACGCCCAGCACATTCCCATCTGCAGCAGCCTTGAGCTTCT